CACCCTGATCCTCAAAATACTTACGCAATCCAACAAATGCCTGCTCCCACTGATGTCTCCTCACTCCGATCATTTTTGGGAATGATTAGCTACTATTCAGCATTTCTTCCATCACTGCATGACGTACGATATCCATTAAATCGTCTGTTAGAAAAGAATGCTACTTGGAATTGGTCAACGCAATGTGAGTCAGCCTTTTCAAAACTTAAAGCTATGCTAAGTTCCAATCTTCTGCTAACCCACTACAATCCGAAACTACCCATTGTGGTTGCTGCTGACGCTTCAACGCATGGACTGGGTGCCGTACTCTCACATGTCTTTCCCGACGGGTCAGAGAAAGCGGTGATGCACGCTTCGAGAACACTAACACCTGCTGAGAAACGCTACGGCCAGATAGAGAAGGAAGCGTTAGCCCTAATTTTTGCTGTCCGGCGATTCCACAAATTCATTTACGGGCGCCGTTTCACCTTGCTCACAGACCACAAGCCGTTGTTATCAATCTTTGGATCAAAGAAAGGCATTCCTGCCCATTCTGCTAATCGTCTTCAACGTTGGGCGTTGGCGTTATTGGGGTACGACTTCGACATCCAGTATCGACGTTCCGAAGATTTTGGTCAAGCAGATGCACTGTCCAGACTTATCAGTAACCATTCTACCACTGATGAGGACACACTCATAGCCATAGTATCAACCGAAGAGGATTCCGGTGCTACACTATTAGCGAATGCCGTTCGAGCAATGCCTGTTACCGCTGAAGATGTTCGGGAAGCTACCAGAGAAGACCCGATTATCCAAGAAGCGATCACCTATGTTCAGAGCAGATGGCCAGTTAAGCAGCTGAGTGGTGATATGCAACAACTAGCGAATCGTCGCAGCGCTCTCTGTATTGTTAACGATTGTCTGATGTTCGGTGATCGCGTAGTAATTCCAACAACCCTACGTTCCAAAGTCCTACGCCAATTCCATTCTGGACACCCAGGGATAAACCGTATGAAATCCATCGCTCGCAGCCATGCATATTGGCCGAATATGGACAAGCAGATTGTCGACTTCGTCAAAAGATGTTCACATTGTCAAAAAGCTGCGAAAAATCCTCCTAAGTTGCCTCCAGTACCCTGGCCAAAGTCAGAAAAAGCCTGGTCGCGAGTGCATATTGACTTCACCGGACCCCTAGATGGTACCACATACCTGATACTGGTTGACTCCTACTCCAAATGGCCGGAGATATTGCCGATTGCGCCACCCTCTACAACTCAAACCATCAAACTCCTTAATCAGATCTTCGCTCGGCATGGTCTTCCAGAAACAATAGTAACAGACAATGGTTCACAATTCACATCTAGCCAATTCCGAGAATTTTGCCTGCAAAATTCGATCAACCATGTTCGCTCTCCGCCATATCACCCGCAATCTAATGGACAAGCTGAAAGGTTCGTTGATACATTTAAACGAGCCATGCTTAAAGCACGAGGGGAGGGGACCACAGAAGATATCATAGAACGTTTCCTAGTTGCGTACCGGACGACCCCGCATGACTTATTGCCAAACTCCAAATCCCCTGCTGAGATGCTTATGGGGCGAAAGCTACGGACAGTTCATGTGCGATGAAACCCAAGCAAGTGGCCCAGCAAAGCCCCCAGATGAAGAATACTCGAATTCCCTACGAAGTTGGTACAAAAGTGTATGCGCGAGATTATAGACACGGATGCGATAGATGGGTAGAGGGTGAAATCACACAAAAACATGGGAACGTCATGTATGATGTCAAGGTGAACCAAGAAATCTGGACCAGGCACCACAATCAACTCAGGTCAAGGGAAGCGAAGGAGAAAGAAGCAATTACAAAACACGTCCCACTCGACTTGCTGTTGGACACTTTTCAACTTCCGCCAATACCTCTAACAGAGACGACTAAGTCATCTACTCAAGTAGAACATCCTTCTGGTTCTGTGTGGTTGCCTCGGAGGTCGGATCGCAAAAGAAGACACCCAAAGAAACTTCAAGTAAATCCTCGGTTACGTCGCTATTAACTTCTCCAAAGGGGAGGTGTTGGGATACTCAGAAAAATATCCCAAAAACAATTATCCGGTTAAGTCTAACGCTACCCTTGAACGTTAAATGGTGTCATTTCCCTATTGGTCGTTTCCCTACTGATCAATATTTATTTCGCGTGTCATTTTCCTATTGGTCAACATTATTTAACGTGTCATCTTTCTGTTGGTCAATATTTATAGTAATCCTAACTGTATAAATATGCATTTGTTTGTAAATCATTATTCTGCTGCTCCTGACCCCATAAACGATTTTTCATCTACGGTTCGTGTTCTGATATATTGGAGATTGGGAATAGTATTGGGGTCGAACTGGGATATCAGAAGCTTGTCAGTCGGTAGAATTTAGAGTAGCCAACTCGCGATTCACAATATAAACCCTCTAGCTTATTCAGCGAAACTGCATCCCAATCATCCACTTGAGCTATACATCTTGTGTACTAACCCGTAGTCCAAAGTGTGAAGAAGTTTTCATTTAAATAAAGGGAGTTTTACGAGTTGTCCATAGACGCAACATAGTAATCATGTAAATTTTTATATTTGTTTACATCATATATACTTCATTTAACTTTGTAAGATTTCTTTGAGTCCAATTATTCTTTCTTTTTGTAAGTTTAAGTTAATTTCAGTAGCAACAAGATATCATAGAAAATACAATTACCATAATTTTATATATATATTTATTTAAACACATAAACATTGGTACGAGGAGGCACCAAATGCGTTTGCGCACACAAATTGTTCGATTTGTGTGATGACTGAAACAGTTGATTTTCTCAGGAGGCCACACCCTGATCCTTTGACATAGTGGTCTAATCCACAAGGCAGTGGAGCGACGTAAGGAGATACAGTCCCATAGTAGCCGGTCACCAACAATTGGCTCACACACCATTTGTTTCCTCAGGATTCTGGAGCCCATGTGCACCATTGGTTTGAAATCAGGGTTTTCCAACTCCTCTATATCCGCCAACCCGGTTAAGGCACAGGATATTCGCATTTCGTCCTCTCAACTTTGTAAACAACACCTCCATCGCGAGAAGGCAGTTAATAGGACTTCCCCGACAGTGGTTGTATACACGTGACCGTGTGAAGGCATTTAGAGGAGGGAGAGCTGACTCTCCCCATCCTCTGCCGTACCAGGGCATTTGTGGACATTATCATAATTTCCACGAATACATTAACACTTGACTAGATAATACGAATGGATATCGTAGACCACAATACTAGATATGATTAAATCACCAGGCTACATCACGTTATCCAGAGATACACAATTCTGATGGACAATTAAGAAGCAGAATTTAGAGACAGAATAACCGTCTATTAACTCTATGTGAAACCTATACTATAATAAATAATAAACTATACTATAGTGCGATGATACCAAATACCCTGGCCGAGAGTGGGGAGACTCCGCTCTCCCTCTCGAAATGCTCTCACATGGCCACGCGTATATAGCCTCTGCCAGGGAAGTCCTACTCACTGCCTTCTTGTGGCGGGGGTGTTGTTTACGAAAATGAGAGGACGAAAAGCGAATGTTCGGAGCTTCAACCGGGTTGGTAGGCATGGAGAGTTCACCTAGGGGAGTTGGAAAACCCTGATTCCAAACCAATGGTGCACATGGGCTCCAGTATCCTGAAGGAACAAATGGCGTATGAACCAATCGTTGGCCACTGGCTTCCATGGGACCACATTTCCTTACGATGCTTCACTGCCTTGTGGATCAGACCTTCAGGTCGAAGGCTCCGGGTGTGGCTCTTTAGGAAAACCACCTGCTTCGGTTTGGGCACTCGGGCAGTATCACAGCCTTCACACATATCAAATGAGATTTTTGTGGCGCACATGTATTTGATACCTCCTTGTACCAATATCTATGTGTTAAAATAAATAATAAACTATACTATAGTGCGAAGAAATCAATGATGGGAAAGGAGTTGACAATATTGTATAATGTCTCTTTACATTTAACATTGCTGGACGTCTGTTTATATTTTGTCTCTGACCAATTCTATTTTGCTTCCATTAGTCACGCATCACGTAGGTTAACTGCTAAATTTATTTATATTTGAATCATTTAATAGGATTTAATTGTTTCGTATAATAATAAATAGTTTAATTCTGTGCTGGTGAATAATTTCTATTCACAATCGTTGACTTCTAACTAGTTTAATATAACAAACAAAATGTATTGTGGGACAATTATAGCAAAATCGTAGTCAACAAATATGACACTTTGAAATAGATTGAAAAGTGTACATAACACATTCAATAAATATTTCTAAGATAACGTAAGTTATTCAGTACTTAAAAAACCTTTAAAAAAGCAAGCTCATTCTCACCTCACTTGAAGCTGTGTTACCTAAATTTTGCAACTATCAGTTTCTACACAAAGTTGTTCTGGACTCTGTTAACAAATTTACTCTTTCTTCTTGATACTAAAACCAATTTGTTAGATTATTTCTTAGCCTACAAATTTTATTTATCATTCTTGAGGTTGGCAAAATTGTTGAACCTTATTAAAATCACAAACCGATCTCTACAACCCCATACTGATAATTTTTGGGTGCTCACTAGTGACTAGCATAGAGAGAACATTTTTCAGATTCAAGTGAAAAGCCGTGACCACTTCAGTCCAACCGTGTTGCGTGTGAGAGAAACACCCACCTAGGATGGTAGCTAGCTGTGCAATATCATGGAACCCATACTAAGACTAAACAGATGTTCACTGCTTTCAGGTTTTCAGTGGTTGTCTAACTTAGATCCGTTCATAGTCTCAAATAAAATTTTTATTTAGTTGTAATTGATAATATATCATAACATTTATTTGATATTCTTCTTACTATCTTTCTCTTGATTACTTTCTCTTTTTTCCAAAAATAATTATTTTGCTCTATCTACTGTCTTCACAACAAATACTCAATTGCTCTTGTCCACTAAAACAACAACCAGTCTTTTTCATTTGTTCTTGGAATCGTTTTGTGTAATTTCGTGGTGGTTGGAGAAGAAATTTAAAACAATGAGAAAGATATTTAACATCAACTCAATTATCATCAGGCTGTTTTGATCTGACCTAAAGAAAATCTCCAGTTTTTTTTTCCTTTTTAAAGACCAAACTATAATTTCACATTTGCTTTCGTTTTTTTTCTTTACTTAATTTATTTTTTAGAGAAAATTGTTTATTTGCTATTACGAATACTAATATTATTGCTATTACCGTCACGATTTTTTTTTCTGTTTAGAAAGTTTATTTTTCAATCAGTTACTCATTTTTTTCACCATTAATTTTCTCGTTGATTTGAATTGCGAGAAAAAGTATCTGATCAAGTATGATTTTATCATTTTTATTATTATTTACTGCTTAGCCCGCCTTATTACTTTTAGTACTCTACATTATTTTGTCTGTATATTCACTGATTTATACATACATGAAATGTATTAGCCTTTTATGATGAATAAATCAATTCATGATGATTATGATAAAATGATTTATATTATTGTTTTTTTTTCCAAGGAGAAATCTACTTAGTGTACATTATTCCATGCGATTATTTTAATGTATATTTAGCTTTAAATTCTATCTTTTTTATGAAAGGCTAGTTATGTTATTCAAGTACTGGACTTTACAGTTCAGTGTTTGAAATTGAACGACTACAACTATGCTTGAAAGACAGGTTTATCAACTTCTGTTTAGTATAACAACAGTGAAGAATAACTAAAGATGGTTATTGTTACACAGTGTCTTTGTAGGTAATACTTTATCTATTTGCGCTAAACTCTAGTTTTAATGGGAACTCAATAGTTCATTCACATATAAATGGGTCCTCTCTATTCACTCCCAGTAACATCTAAAGTATCATTTATTTGGCAAAAATTAAACCGTATAACCTTAGTGATAATGATCAGAGATAAGATTTATGTGTGCATTATTTAAAAAACATCAAAAAACACTGGTAATTCTCTATTTCACCGTACACATATAGTATTTTACTAAAAAGTTAGTCATCAAATTCCAATAATTCGTTATTTGTATATATTTTTTCAATATGAATAAAATTCTAAAGCTAGAATTGTAAGATGTAAGCATACCAGATGAGTTTGTTTGTTTACTAGCAAAATGTTTGTTAAACGCTTTATTCATGATCAGTTTTTCAAACGATCAAACGTGTCAGCTTCTCGGTCACACATACCAAGAACTCATTATCATTGAATAATTTCCAGTTGGTTATAACCAATATATTTTTAATCTATTGGGTTTACCAACTCTTAATCTTTCCACTATAACTAGGATTGCTAACTTCCACTTTGTAAGTAGTTGAGTCAAATTGTAATTTACTGAGTTGATGTAAGCTGAAAACCATCAGTTATCTTAGGTACCGTTATTCGACGTCATGTGATATTATTGAGTGATATCGATACCAGTTTAAGGGGTATATATTTCCGTGTAAGCAAGAATTATTTGCTTTAAAGATGATTTTATGCCAAAGAGGTTTCAGAATGCTTCCGTCTATCAGTTCTATATGATTTACTAAACTCCTTCAACTGTTATTTAATAATTCAGTGGTAACATCTCAAGCTGTGTGACACCGATTTGAGTTCCATGTAGAACATTTTTCTCATAATTCCATGAACAGCTTACTGATATGTGCCACCTGGCACAAAATATAGGTTAAGGGTTTGATGGGAACTACTTTGGATCGTTCGATACATTTGGTGGTTCTATCTCACTAGTTTTCCCAGATTTTGCCGCTAAGAATGAATTCCTGTTTGCATACTGGGATACGTTTCTGGATTCGATATGAATACGACGTTGCGGTTAACTTATTTTTCATTTGTGTTAATAAAAAATCTAGTAAGAATAGTAATTTACGTTTATAAGTAAATCATTTGGATAAACAGGTACAAGTTATTGTATTGTGTTTGATTTTCATCTACGCGTATTGCGTAACGGTTAGTGAAATCATACCGAAGTTTATAATGCGAAATTCAGACCTATAGTTCGAAGTTGGTCATGTATAATTACTGGACCCTGCTAATAGTTATGAATACTGAAACTTAAAATGTCTACCATCCCTCCAAAAATTATCTTAACAACGATATCTTAATAAGTATATCACTTTTCACCGCGAAAGTAAGTTACACTGGTTTGATTTTTTCTGGGACAAATGTTTCCTCATTGTTATATTTGCTGTATTCTGAGCGGCGATACTAAATCCAAGGGTTTACCAACAATAAACTTCAAACACTTTTAAATTGTATAAATTTCCCAATTGGATACATCAATCTGTAAATAGACTACAAAAACGAGTACTGGATGAACATGTAACGAATAATGGAGAATTGTTGCTGTTTGCGTTTAAAACACACTATAAGGCAATTTCACTTATTCTCTTCAACAAATAGTTTAACCAAACTGAAATTTTATAATGCTTAAATTGTCAGATTTATTAAATGAGACTATTAGCTGATTAATCACTGAAGGTTATTCCTTAGTAATTATTTACATATCAAGTTTACGATACAGTCGGCACTTTTAAGTTTTATTTTCAATATTTAAGAATTTTGTAGCAAGTCATCCATATATTATTATTATCACTAGTAATGTTAGATCATAGTCAACAAACGACGCTTATGAAATAAGCAATGGGTGTTTACTAAACATAATATTATAACAGAGATATTGTGTTAATGTGTTTTCAATCTCCTGAAATGATATGAAGTGTAGGCAATTGTTGATATGAATCATAGAAATTGGTCCAAAATACAATGCACACAAATCGAAAGATATAAAAACACTAGGCAGTAATAGTTATCTACTTCTGGTGAAACGATACAAATATAAACAATTTTTCATTGCAAAAAGTATTCATAATTTTAAGTTGAAGTATAAGCGGAACAGTTTTTGTAAGTCATCGATCGACCAATCAAATGAAAATCTGACATCATTTTTATCGTTCATATCACGTTATGTAAAATTCATACTTTATATTATTTGTTTATCAGTAACTATGTCCGACTGGTTTATGAACAGGGCATTAGTATTATCATTAATGATCTTACTTCCAAAAATTGTTTTGCAGAATTTTATGGTGTATTATTGCTTTTGTGTATCTACATCAGGTCTTTATTTGTACTTATTCCTCACAGCCGTCTACTCTAAGCAATAGCGTTGCCTGAACCAAACAACTATAAGAGAGTTACACTGATTGATAAGGTATCCAGTAGTCATAATCTAAATTCAAACTGATCTGCTTGTAATTTTTGAAGGACAGTGGTTAGTTATACTGAGATAGATTGAAATACTATCTTAATATGTTAAAACATGGTATAATTGTTTTTCCGAAGGACTACAATAAGAGTAGAATTATGAAAAAACACTAGGGGAATATTCGTTTACTCTTAGTATGCGTTGTGCACTTTTCAGTAGTTTCAACACATCCCTTAACGATCATAGGCCTCATCAAACTAGTGCTATCCTTCTGGTTTATGTACAGTGCTTTTAACTAATGCATCCGTTCTGACTGTCGTACCTACTATGATATAAACAGCCGTTCTGTATCATGTCCTACCATAAGATAACTATCTATCAGACTGCTTTTTGGGATATATGTATGTTTACTGAGTTGCATCAAATAAGTATTACAGATTACGTGACTGTTGTTAGAAGAAAATAAGTTCTGCATAAATATTAGTTCTATATGAACGGAACTAATAGTATACATGAAGTAATTACGATTTGTTTTCATACAAAACAAACTACCTACTTTTAATACATAATTATTGATCGGCTAATGAATATCGTTAAGCTTCACCTTACTGTTCAGTTAAAATAAAACCAACTACACTTCTTAATGTTTATTTATCCAAACTTGTAAAGATTTTGTGAATTAGAAAACATTCAATCACAGTTTAAAGATCATATTCAATCTGAAAATGTACTTTTCTACTGGTCTTAAACTGCTCTACTCAATTCTCTGTATTACGTAACTCTGAGTAATCCTGAAAGTAAGAAAAGATTGAAGTGATTTAAATAAGAACATCAATAGATATATTATGGTTGTTTTGAGGTCAGTCTCACTGAAGTACGTCACTAATAAAGCATCTGAAGGACCTTAACTTACCAATCATGAGACTAACTAACACAATGTCTATTTAGTCATGTACAATTTATATAATTTCATTATTTTAATTTGTATTTGGAAGTCTGGTAATTTCGTAATTAACACATCCAACCATACAATTTGTTTCTAACACTATTTGTAGCCTGTATAAAATATTATTTGTTTCTCTATTTGTTTTTTTTTATCAAATATTAAAACAAAAAGCTTATTATGAATTTAATATATGCTAAATTTCATTATGTGTATTGAGTTATATTTAATAAACTGCTATGGGTAACCAGTATATATTGACTGTTGTACGTTAAGTTTTGTATGCTTTTAAACTGTTGGTTTAGTCTTACAGTTTTTTTTGGGAGACTCAAACAATAATTATATGACACAACTGACCAAAGTTATGTATTTAATTTTCTGCCCCTGATTTAAGTCACTTGTGGAACTGGCTAATTACACTTTTACCCAAAATGGGACGAATGTAATTAGTAACACTAAATCTATATTAACTTATGAGTTTGAAATGTCGTTTAAAGGTAGTGTAATAGGTGAGGATGTTTGATGAGGCTTTAAATCTCCATTGGCTACCATTGTGGTGTATGCTACTTATATTGACACAAGTAGTATATGATGTTAGTCGTGAACAGAAGGTCTGGCAGCAGAGAGACAAGTGGATCGAGCAGTAAAGAATGGAAACAGGATGCAATTTGTATGAAAATGAAAGAACAATGAAGTCTGAGTCATTTTGAGACAATTGGTGGGTATTTTGCAAATTAAGCATTTATTTTATGATTGTTAGATTTTATTAATATGTCCTGTAATTTTGTGTTAAATGCATTTGATTGTGCCTACTGGTGTTCGTGTTCACTACACCATTACTAATGAACATATTGTGTATGCCCA